TGTTAATTGGTCCTTAACATAATGTGATTATGTATTTTGATATGATTTGGTGTTCTACTATGTGAAAATATGTGGTTTGAAATTTTATCTGTTCATCGTAGGAATATCTGTTTGAATAGTCTGCTTTGGAAAATTAATTGAGGGCCTTATCGGCCACGGAAACCGAAATTGATTACGCCATTGTGGTTGGCATAATTTTTAGAGCCTACGGTGAAATTTAATTGGAATTTGATTCTGGTCAATTTAAACTGATTAAATTGATAAATTAAGTACCCCATTATTTTATATTAAAATATTTGTTAGTGGGGCTTGTTGTATATTTGTATTGCACTCTCCTTTAGCCCTCTTAAAACTCAAAATCTGAGTTAGACAATTGAGAGTGAGAGAGAGGCCGGCCATGGAGAGAAAAAGGGAGAGATTTGTGTAATTTGGGCTCAAGACTTGGGAATTCGAAGATCTAGCTCAAGATTTGGCTAGAGCTTGAGTATTGAAGCTCTTAGGGTCAAGCTCCAGGGCGCATCCACAAGCCGATCACTGTGAGTAATATCAATATTTGAAAACTTGTCAATGTCCAATTGTTATTCCCCTATAAATATTATGAGTTGTTAATTGGGATTGTGGACAAAAGTTTGACATGAATGAATGGGCCAAAGGCCAGAATGTTTGGAACTACAGTTACTTGACTTGCATTTCGTATAGTTATATATATTTTGCTGTTAAACAGAAGTATGAATTGAGCCCAAGGCCGTTTGGAGCATGTTGATCTACATATTGTTATGTAACTGTTATATTTGATATTATTCACTGGGCTATCGCTCACGCTCATTCATGTATTTGTAGGTGAGCCAAGGGAAGTCCAAACCCAGCCCCAGTGAAGTCCGAGAAGGTGGTAAGCTTATACCTCTCAAAGAAGTAAGCTCTTGTTTGTAACACAAACTTGGTTCAAGCACACTCTCAAGCTTGAATGTGATGCACAAGCCTCAACCAAGGCTCTAAGATTTCTAAGGTGGTGTATGGTGTATGGATATTGATCAAGAGAGATAGGTTAGCTTAAAGGTGACTTGTATTGGAAGAAGGAGCTCTCTCTTGTGTTCATATGTTCTTTTGAAATTTTTCAACCCTCAAAACAGAGTTATAACCTCGTTTTTATAGAATTCGAGCAAAACAAGTCGAAAATATCTTCAAAAAAAGATAGCTGGCGGGCTCTTGCCCAGAGCAGTGTGTATCGCCAGCAAGGCACGGCCGGGCCCAAATAGCTATGGCCGACTCTCAATGGGGCACAGCCAGGCCCTAATGTGCTACCCCGTTGCCCTATTTCAGGCTTAGTGCACGGTGACATAATGTTTAAAAATGAATCTCTAGAGAAGGTAGAGTCTAGAGTGAGAGGCTCAACAATGGTGATTTTGGAAAAGTAAGAGAGAGAAGAGAAAGTAAAAAGTGATTTGAAAAGTCACAAATTTCGGGACTTAAACCCAGTCTCCCGCTCGAGCGTAAAACACCCCGCTCGAGCGTCACTCACAGACTCCCGCTCGAGCGTCCAAACTTCCGCTCGAGCGCCGGATGCACTCTCCCAGCATCTATACAGAACCAGGCCTCCGCTCGAGCGGCCAATCCCACGCTCGAGCGTACAACGCTGCACAGGAAAATACTGAATGGGTGTAATCTCCGCTCGAGCGCCAAAACCCCCGCTCGAGCGTACAGGCCAAAATCTGGGCAACTAGTTTTGGTTTCTAAACTCAACCAACCTGTAACAAACCCGCCCAACACATCCTATAACTCAATTACGAAGTAAAAAGGATGTAAACAAAATAATAAACAACTACCAACATCCACGGACACATGTCCGGATCACGGTATAACAAGGGTAAACCCGGGATCGCTGTATCCTATATAAGGAGTTGTCTGTTGGGTAAATTACACTTTACATCCCTGCACTTTTCATAAAATTTTACTTCGGTTTTTACACATCAAATTGTGACACTTAACCCCCTGTGCTTTTAGTCAAGTGTCACATTGGCCCTTCTGTTACTCCCACTGTTTGCCTCTTTAACAGAAACTGTAAGAACCTGAATTTTTGGACAACTAATTAGTTTGTTAATAACAATATTAAGTCAATTAATAGCGATTATTAAATTATCAAATTATAGTGTTAATAGCATCATGATTAATACCAATGTTAAATTCCTTTAAATAAAATTATTTATAAAAATTTCTATAGCTAATGCAATTGTGAAAACTAAATGGATTAAATTAATAGTAAATAAGCTAGTTAGAGTTTCGTAGGAAGAAAACCATCCAGTTAAAAAGGTTATATATATATACATACTAATATTGTATTGGCATCAATTTCAATTCAATTCAAAATAAAATAAAATAAAGATGTCAATTTGCAAGAAAAGTGGCGGGCTGCCCCTTCTTTTCCCTAGGCTGCTCTGCTGCATGCAAGGCATGCTTGTTTTCCCAATTGCACACTCAATGTCCCTAGAGAAGCAAGCATGGCATAGGATGGCAATTCCAAGCAAATAGAAAAAAAAAATTGCTAAAGAAAGGAAATAATTAAATAAAACCAAAAGTTGCTCCCATATTCCCTACATAAGGGACTTCACCATCAGCCATAATGCATACACACGGCTAAGAAAGAAAAGAAAGAGCGGAGAGAAAGAGGGAGAGAAGGAAGAAGGAAAGAGAAAGGGGTCTCAAATTTTTTTTAAACTTCATTGAGGTAGGAATACTCAACCTCTATCCCCCCTTAGATATTTTTCTTAACTGAATTTATATATTAAAAATATGCAAGAGTGTGCATCGTTAATACACAATAGCTCAATGCATGATCACATTTTGATAGAATGATAATCTTATGATTATAGGATTTCTATCCTTCTCGCAAGCATGAATTAGATGGTTTAGCTACTGATGTTTCTTCTTATGTGTTCAAATATTCTCCATTGTTTGAATTAATCTTGCATGCTTATGAATTTGTGTTTACTTTTCATAAATATTATTTTCATCTATTCCCTGTTACCACTAATGAGAGTAAATATGAAGGATTAGAGTTTCACATGGGAATAGTAGCAAGAAATAATTTTTATGGTCTTACGTATGATTCATGGTGAATACAAAGTGTGTTTTTCACAAAATAATGAACTTCCAACAAAACAGATGTTTAATCCGTTTTGAATAAACCCAAACAAACTCATGAGAACACTTTCATAAAATCTGAAACTACTGGAGTTAGTTTAACATGTTTTCATGGTGCTAGAATATCGAAAAAAATTATTTGACAACGTTTCGTGGTCAAAACATATTTTTAACTTCATTGTTGTCTGGAGGCAGCAGCAATGCTAACTTTACTAGGTCACCGTTTATTCTACATAATGATTTTTCAAGTGATTCAAATTGTAAAAGTTATATTATTAAGTTACCTTTCAAATGCTGCCAATTTCATAATGTTTTTTAAAGCATTGAGAGAGAAACGTCAATTTTTCCAAAATGTGACAGAATCTGTTCAGTTTTCTTAGAAAAATTATTTGACCATCTTCCATTAGGTTTCAGTCTTCAAACTTTTCTGGAAATATGTTCTAAACTCAAATATTTAGCAAACCGTTCTGACCATACCTCCTTTTGACATTGTTTGAGGCCCCTTTCTATTTTTCAAACACAGATCACCTGTGCTGGAAGTTAATTTAACTCACTGTCCCAGAAAAATCACTTTTCTCCAAATTTTATTTCTCCATTTTAAAATTGTTTTTAGCCCTGGTATTCTTCTTGAAATATTTTCCTAACTCGATGAACTAGCACCAGTTAAAATACGGTAATGGTTGAACTTCGTTTGGTATGGGTTTCATATTTTTTTGTCTGACCATACAGTGCTGAAAGAAGAAGTGTGTGAATTCTTAAGAAATTTTGTGATGATTCCTAAGACATTCTATCATATTTATTTTGGTTTCCATACATGATTGTGTTGTGCTATAAAACTAAAACTCGTACATGCATCCAAATGTGAATTCGATGAATTAAAGAAACATGAAATTGAACCGATGATACATTAAAATTTAAAAGTGATTGCAAACCCTAACATGGCACGGGAAGGTATTTTGATTCTTATCGGTGTAGGCAATATAAGGTTGGTGGTGCGGGTGTCCCAACATAGACCGTTCCCTTGGGGCAGACTAAGATGTCACGACTCGGGTACATAACCCTGGTGCGTGGGCATTATTGGTAGTTACAGCAAGTAACATTTGAATATTTGACCAAGGGGGAGTCAGAATTGCCCGTGGCCATTGCTTAGCGGTTGAGTGGAAATAGTGCTCCGCGGGGAGTTACTTAAACTTGCCTGTGACCATTGGTTAGCGGTTGAGTGGAAATAGTGCTTCGTGGGAAGTTACTTAAATTTATTTAATAAACTAAATCTATGAGAATTTAAAAAGAAAGGTGGGCATTTTCCTTATGATGAAATACTGTTTCTGTTTGCCATTTATTTATTATTATCTATTGTTATTATTTCAACTGATAGCATTCCTGTTATGCTTATTAAATGCTACTTGTTATTCTATTACTACACATTATTCATTAATTGTGAGTATTATTATCGGGGTGGGTATTTTCGGGTTGTAGTATCTTATTGAGCTTGTCGCTCATTGGCATTCCCGTTGCCCTGGCGTTTTATGCCAGGTACCGAAGAAACCGAAGGGAACACCGAGGCCTTGCAAGGCAACATTCAGCCGTGGTTAGCTTGAAGAGTGCCCAAATTCCATGAACTATTTTCTAAATTTTCTAGTTTTCCTCTAGTTTTCTTTTTATATTTGTGTTATTTTTTTTATGTACTAAGACTAAGTTGTAATTTAAGAACTTTAAATTTTTGGGTTGTTAATTAATAGATGTTAGTGATATTGGTGGCAATATTGATTTTAAGTTCTAAATCTTATTATGATGTCCTTAAATTTTGGGCGTCATAGAAACTATCCATAACTACAGTGCCACAAATGAAGCCGATATCCACATGAACACGCAGATGGCCATAATTCATTTCATAAAATATATTGTTGGTATCCACCAAGTCAAAATGGCCACATATTCATGATGCAAACATGCTGGCAGTATCCATGACTACATACACAAAACATGCCACATTGTCAAAATAGTTCGATAATCAAAACAAACAACACCCCTACTTTGGGTTCTTCACCTTAGAGGCAGATGCATTATGAAGTGAGGACAAGGTCATAACATTCCTCCCTCTCCAGGTAATGAGGCTGTTGTTGGTGTTGATATTGCTCCTCTTTATGCTTCAGATGTTTGTAACGATGCTGACTTTGTTATTGTTGTTGCACTTCTTGTTCTTGTTGCTGTTGCTGTTGCTGTTACTGTTGTCCTTGTTCCTACTGCTATTGTTGCCCTTGATGTTGAAGTTGCCTTTGTTGCTGAAGTTTCGCTTTGTGTTTGTGAACTTGCCCTTGATGCAGATGGATTTGGTGCCCTTGGAATTGCTGAAGTTGCCCTTGGAATGGCTGAAGCTGGATTTGGTGTTACCATTGGTATTGGTGTTTGGGTTGCACTTCGTGTTGCCATTGGTGTTGATGCTTGGGATGGTGTTGATCCAGCCTTAGTGCACTGCAATTGGCAAAAAATATTCGGTCCAATCAAACATATATCTAGTTGTATTAATTTAAAACATTAACAACAAAGTATGCACTCACCCTTTTCCTTTTATAGCCTAAGCTCTTCCATCTTGGTTTATTTTTTTGTTGGTACTCCTTGTTTGGTGGATTCTTGCAGCTCCTATAGTTATGGCCCTATGTCCTACAATTACCACACGTTACTGTTGTATTCTGCCTTGTGACTTTGGTAGGTTTGGTAGGTTCATCTGATATAGTACATACCTTTTGTTTGTCTGTAATAAATGTCCATCCATGTTGATTCTCTATGCCAATGTCTTCTATGAGCAAGTGAATGAACCACAACTAAGAGCTCTTTGTTTCACCCTCCACCACTACATATGCTACTGGGAACATTTGGTTATTGGCATCAATTCCTATTGCACATAATAACTGTCCAGTTTGTTCACTTTTCAAATGGCATCCATCTAGACCAATCAGTGGCCTACACCCTGTTACAAAGCCCTCTGGCAAGCTCCAAGGCAAATGTACCATCTCTCAAAGGTAGATTGATTAGTAGGGTCCTCAGGGTGTGTTAGGGAAAACAGATGATTTCCCACAAGTAAATAAATCGATGGAAATAAAAAATAATGCGAAAAAATTAAATCAACAACAACACAAGAATTTTTATGTGGTTCCCTTAATGTGAGTTTCAAATAACGAGACATGAATGGTCTTACAAACCACCCTTAGGTGAATTTCAAATAATCACAAATAAATAAGAGGAAATACCTCTCCAAATAGACGAACAAATTATCTTCGAAGCAAAGTTAAAGAAGACCCAAAATAATGAACCAAACAATGCTTTGAAGGAAGTGTGAAATAGAACCAAAACTTCCAAGCAAAATAGCAACAAACAAAGCACAAAGCTTTGGACCGATATTATCCACCAATTGAAAATACACACAGCACCAAGATTAGCAACACCAAGACAATACCAAAACAATATTGTTGACTCTTGGGCTTTTTATCAAAGTTCTAGTTGTTACCAAACAGATTATTAAATACCCATTAGACTTTCAAAAGTCATATATAATATATAAAAACATATATTATAACCAACACCAAACCAATTAAATATTTTTAATAAACCAATTGGGTCTCATACTCCACTAAGGAGGTATACCCAACAATGTTTCAGGAGGAGTTGACTTCATGATGATGGTTGTGTCAGGATTTGTTTTCCTCAACTTTTCACAGTAATCCCAAAGTTGATTATATTGTTTATTGTTAGTAACCTGTATGATGGTTAAAGCCTTTCTCTTGGCCCTGTATAACTGACTCCTAGATGCTCCAACCACATAATCCTCCTGAACTTGTGCTTGAAAAGATTCAATTAAGAGTTTAAGGTTTCTCCTAATGCTATCCATATACTTTTTTGACAGCCACCTAAAGTTAGCATGCCTGTTTTGAAACACCATTCCACAATTATGTTGTTTCCTATATGTTTCCACTTGCAAAGTGTTCTGGTTCTGCATATTAGAAGCAAATATGATCCATTTGCATCCCTCCCTACACACTGCCCTCATCCTTTTTTTCTCATTATTGACAAACTTTACATTCTTACCATTCTTCACTGCATACTCTCTCATTGCAGCCCCAAATTCTGTTGCTGAACCAAATAACATGCCCACTTTAAATTCAACATTGGTCATGCCAGTGTCAGGATTAAACTTTGGATGCTTTGGACCTCTTCTATCCTCATTAGTTGAGTCATAAATGCTTTGGAGCTCATCAGATGATCTACCACCTTGCTTAAGCTCTACACCCTCTAGTTCAATGTTTGTAAACCCATATGATACTCATCTGCTTAGTCATTAGTGTTCCCTCTATTGCTCCCAACCCACTCAACACCTTTGTCAACATTGTTTTCAAACAACACATCATCATCACTCACTGCATAATCACTATCATAGAAGTCTACATCCTCACTGTCATTTTCAGCCTCACTGTCATCGCCATCATTTTCAACCTGAACGTCATGACTCTTATCTACAGAAACATCACCATTATCAGCAATTAATTCCTCTATATGATCACTTTCAATTTGACTAATCACTTCTCTAGGTTGACTACTCCCAGAAACATCACATGACACCACTTGGTTGTCCCAACAATCCATTACTGGAACATTTTCTAAGTACACTTCAATGGCTCTACTAGGAGGCATTTGAGCAATCATTTCAACCAAATTAGCATCAGTTGCTAGCAACCTTAAACCATTATCAAAGTCCATCCCATGGATTCGGTAAAAGTAAATAATTAAACCATCATACCCAAATTTCTTCACATCAACATTAAAGTCAAATAAAGAAAAATTAGCAAGATCACAATTTTCAACTAAAGTAATGTTTCCACCAATGTACATCTTTCTTGGAGAGTAAACAAAGTCACCCCCATGGTGAATCTTAATAGTAAAACATTAACCACCCCCTGTAGAAAATAGTTTAGAGACCACAAAGTCATGAATAAATTTTCTTCAACCATTTTAATTAAACAATTCATAAACAAAAAGTCCACAAATGCCCACTGTGAACTAAAAGTGTAATTGGATTATTGATTTGGGTAGGGATTTTGTAATAACCCTCACGCTGTCCTAACCATTCTCGTATGCATTCATATGATTCTGTCTTGTTAAGCTTGCATTTCAAGTCTTGTCCTTGTTCGCTTAAGTGTTACAGCATGCTTTGTACCTTACTCAGTACGGGTTTAGCCGAGGTCACCCTGAGCCTAGGTCGGTTTTGAACCTCTTGCATCTGAGACCATCTTGGAATTTACTTTTGGTTGACTCCACCTTCGCTCTGACATGTTGGCCGAGATATCACTATCTAGGCCGAGGTGTTCGTCGCCGAGGCCGAGGTGTGTATTATCTAGGTCGAGATGTTACCCTTGAACCTAAGTGACCTTACTCCTGGATTGGTACGACCTAGACCGAGGTGTGGCACATCTAGGCCAAGGTGTGGCATAGCTAGGCCGAGTGTTGTCCTTTCTAGCCGATGTCCTTGCCCCTTGCTTGCCGAAGTCTTGTTGTTAGCCGATGTCGTTACTTGTCGGAGTGCTCTTGCCGCCTAGTTTGTTCAGTACACTTTGTCATAGTCTTGTCTTTTCACTCAGTCACCTTTTTTAGAAGAACCAACCAGCCGTTGCCACGTACCCCTGCAGAGGGTTAAGTCAGCCGACAGACCCAGAAAATATACATTTTGTATTATATCTTTGCCTTGTAGAGAGAGAAGCTCTAGGAAGAAGAAGAAGTTTTAGAGTGAGAGAGTGGGCTTTCGAGCTTGATTCCTAGAGATCAAACCGTTAGATTCGTGTATTGAGGTTAGATTCTTGATTTACTCTTGTCGTTCTTTATGTTTATCTAGCTGCATTGCACGATTGAACCTGTTCTGCACGTCATGCATTGATTTAAAGTTGGTTTTAGAAAGAGAAAATAGTGTTCATGTGTTCTTGAAGAAAAAGTCTTGTTTGATCCGAAAGTTTGCATTAAGATTCATGTTTTTGTGTTTGTTCTCACAAGATCGTTGAATATGGGTACCTAGGTCCATGTTTTTGAATGCATAGCATGAAATCTCAGATTTTGTAATAGCAAATTATGATCTTGGCATTCATCTTCCTCATGTTCACGTTCTTCATGTTCGTCATGTTCTTTAAGAGAGGGAAACCTAGATTTTCCCGACTTCATTCCCTTGAATGTGGCCATCGAGGCCACACCTCAGCAAGGAGGTGTGGGACCTCAGCCTAGACCTGGTAGTTGCCCAACATGTTTTCCCGAGATAAGGAATTGTGTTTTGTTTTGATTTGACTTAGTTTTTGGAAGAATATGCCGAGGTCATTTGCATGCATGCAAGACTTGTTTTGAGTAGTGCATTCAATAGACTTTGCCACGTGTTTGTAGGACTTGGGCTTGCCTTGACCCCGACGTTTGAAGAACTAGGTGAGTGGTATTTCTAATAAAATTATGTTATTAATGTTTTGATAAGCTTTGCTTTGCTTTGTTTTGAAAAGTATTTGTTAAGCATGAATGATTACCCCTATTTTGTGTATCAAGTATTAGCTTTAGTTTGACAATCTTGAAAGTCCGTACGTGCTAGGGGACTATAAGCATTTGTAGCACAATCTTGAAAAGTCCGTACGTGTTAGGGGACTATAAGCATTTGTAGCACAATCTTTACAGAAACATCACCATTATCAGCAATTAATTCCTCTATATGATCACTTTCAATTTGACTAATCACTTCTCTAGGTTGACTACTCCCAGAAACATCACATGACTCCACTTGGTTGTCCCAACAATCCATTACTGGAACATTTTCTAAGTACACTTCAATGGCTCTACTAGGAGGCATTTGAGCAATCATTTCAACCAAATCAGCATCAGTTGCTAGCAACCTTAAACCATTATCAAAGTCCATCCCATGGATTCTGTAAAAGTAAATAATTAATCATCCCTTGGAACTTGAAGGCCTTGAAAGACTTTAATTGTTGAGACTTGAAAGATTTGTTAGATAAACTTGATTTGCCCTTGGATTTTGTACAAGATGTGATGTGCCTTGATTTGATAAAGACTTCGGATATCATTCATGTAAACCCCTTTATTATTTATACCATTCACTGAGTATCCAAGCTCACCCCTCTCTATATATATATGTAGGTGACGAGCAGGACGGCGATGACGCCTAGATATACTTGCCACTTGTTTTGGATTTTGCACTTTTGCAGCATCTTGAAGATTATGCTTCTTAGTTATATTTCATTGTATTCTTGTATTTGATGGCTGAGAAGCTTTTTGGTCAAGATGTATTTTTGTACTTCATTTTGTTGTATTAAATCTATGTAATAATGTATGCCATTCCATTTAACTTATGCACTGCTCTTATGGACTACTTAGCTTTGAATTTATTGCTTCCGCATTGATAAGCCCCATATGTATACTATGTTTGTATGTGAATTTTGAAAGTTGGCCTTCGGTAATCTCGGATTACTGGCCATCACGGCACCATTCTACTAGGGACGGAATGGGGTCGTGACAGATTTAGAAAATGGAAGGAAAATGTTTTTGAAATGTAGATATATTTCATTCAAATTTCACCATATTTTTCCCTTTTCCTTTTCAAATTTCTATACAAATTCATGAACCAAACACAAGACAAGTGTTAATACAAATAGACAAAGACTAGTCAACACACTCGAGACCACATTTTTCTTTAGCCAATAAAGTAGTAAATAAAAAAATTGAACAAAAGTTACACTTGATCCGAGAAATTGTTCTAGAAACCCACACATAGAACCAAACAAACAAAGAAAATGATAAATCAATAAATCATTGTAAAAACCCCCCACACACAAACAAAGACAATCAATTATTATAAAATATTATGAAGTTATGCTTTACCTGATGGATGCGCACCTCTGTCTTCCATTCCCTTCAATTCGTGACTCACTTTTTGCATAACCGTAATAGTTCACCATCTGCATTTTGGTTTAGCCCTAAATTGATAGAAATTTTGGACAATCACAAGCTGTATTGGCAGGAAATAGGGTCAATTTCCGACCTTTCCCTATTTAGTGGCCACATACTAATTGTGCGACTAACTTCTGTTAAAGAGTCAAACAGTGGGAGTAACATCAGGGTACTTGACTAAAAGTGCAGAAGTTAAGTGTCACAATTTAATACGTAAAGACCAAAATGAGATTTTATGTAAAATATAGGAATGCAAAGTGTAATTTATCTTTGTTTGTTTCTGTTGGAACAATCTTCTGTGTACAAAATAAATTGAAACAAATCAAACAAATAAAATAAATTACATACCGAATTTATTTTTTACCAAACCGAATGAATAATTAAAGACCAAGTCGAGTGTGTGACACTTTGTCCTTAAGACAGATTCACCCCACTACGGTGCTTACGGTTAAGTGGCGTCTATCTTCCAGGATACAATGATCTTCACAAATTTGTAGTAGCACTCCAAACAAATTTGTCTGGCGAACTAGAACCTTGTGTTCTATACTGTCTTTATTTTTATTCTAAAACTAATATGAAGAATAATGCACTAAAAGAGCAAAGTTGGACAGCAAAAAGGAATTTTTCAGACTGTTTTTTCAATGTCCCAGACTGCTGAAAAGGCTGGTATATATAGGCAAATTAATCTGACCCGAACAGGTACAAAAGAAGTGAACAGGTGAAGTTTTGAATTTGAACAGATGCTGTTTGAATTCAAACATATCTGCAAACTGTTTCAATAGATTAACTGCTGCAGTTATTTATCTGTTCAGAAACTGCCCAAAACCGAATATGTTATGGTCTTTTTGAACCTGTTGGACATGGACCGAATGAGGAAAGAAATTAAATTCAAATTTGAATTTAATTAAATTTTCCCGCAAGTAATTTTTGAAAAAATTCAAATGAATTTTGTCCAAAAAATTAATACAAGAACCGACCTGACCCCGACACAGCTGGCGGCGCACGTGTGGTGGTTTGGGCTAACGTTCATTTTGTCTATAACTCCTCCCTTCGAAAAACTTGGGGTGCTTCTTGGGGCCCAACCCAAGTATTGTACTCTAGAGCTTATATACATACGCGAGCTCTCTTAAAGTTTCAATGTGGGACAATGCATTTCAAGGAAACCCACATTTAATTTTTTAAATGTCCAATTCCACGAACCCGAAAATGATGTCAACTTCTCATTCACTCATAAATGGTTTTGATGAACCGTCTTCACTATGTGACTTGCCATGCGACAAGGAACACGTCACCTCTTCGAACCCACCTCAAAAGACGTTTGGGGCCCATTCAATTTTGGGCTCAAAGTTGGCCCAAAATAAGCCTTATAAAAACCAAATTTCCAACAATTTCATTTGTGGGGGAGGCTCTGGAGAGGCCAAGAGAAGACAAGGGAATGCAAGGCCCACTTTTGTTTCTCTCTCTCAATTAAGGGTTGGTTTGGGAAGTGGGTTGACTTTTTGGCTTTTTTGGCTATTTTAGTCTGGGCTAAAAAGCTTGGTTTGGGAAGTGGGTTGACTTTTTGGCTTTTTTTGTGAGAGAAGAGTGTAATGATTATAGATTGGATGTGATATTTTGTTTTTTGTGGCTAAAATAGCCTATTTTGTCTTTTGTGACTAAAATAGCCAAAAAAGCCTACTTTAGCTCTTCCCATACGGTGCCTTGGTTTCTTTCATTCTTGAGTTACTACTCAATTTTTTATTTTTTTTGTTTTATTTCGGTCGAGTAAGTTCAAAAGAAATAAAAAAAATTAATGTTACAGAGATGTTGGGAAAAAGCTGTCAAGTTTCACACACAATTGTGGATTAAGAATAGTGAGTGTTATTGTTGTCATATCTTTTATTAGGATATTGGTTTAATACTATGCCTTATGATTTCACTTTCTCCCTTTGTTAAAATTTCGAGCCATCACATTTGAACATTGCAAGGTTTGTCTCTAAACTTTATGGATCCATAAAATTGAAGACCATCTAATCTCTTCATATATATATTTTTATTGGTTTCATATGTGTAAAAAAAAAAAGAGAGAGTTTTCCTTAACAAAAAAAGAAAAAAAAAAGAAAAAAAGAAAAGAAAAGAAAAGAAAAGAAAATAAAAGGCTAAAAAAAAAAAGAATTTCAAAAAAGACTTCTTTAAAAATTGAACTACGATTGGACCTGATTCCTACAACAGGATACATAGGCAGCCATGTTGCTCGGTCTGAATCCTTCTAATTCTCATTTTTATCTTTCTTTTATCATCAAGTTCAAAAAGGCTTCTTTCAAAAATCGAACTACAATTGGACCTAATTCCCATAACAAGATACGTAGGTAGCCATGTGGCCCGATCCATACTTTTTTGTTATTATTTTTGTTTTATCTTTGTCATGTTACCATTTTGATATCATAATAGTGCTAATCAATCTCTTCAAAGAAAGGTTAATTTTCAAAACCACACATTGTTCTTATGAGGAGATAAAATCACACTTTGTGATTACTACTAAGTCATTGAAACCAAAACTGATTCAGTAAAATCACAGTTGTCAATTCCATTTCAATTCATCACATTAAGCTAAAGATTTTCTAAAACTCCTTTTTCTTTTTGTAAAAAGCGAGGGATGAAAAATTCAGACGCAATAGCTAGCGACTTCGCTGGAGACACTTAGAGGATTTCGGCTATTTTTATTCTCTTTTATTTGATCCATTTTTGGTTTCATGACTCCTCAAAATTTTCTTCTTATTTCAATCATCTAATGTATATATTTTGTACGAACACTAATGAGTTATTTCTTATTCTTTTGTAGCATAAATAAATTATGGAAGGCATGATCAAATATATAGCTTCATGATTGTCAAGGCAAGAGGGACATTTGTAAAATAAAAAAATATATAACGGGGATTTATTATTATTATTATTATTGTTAATGGCCCCTCAGTATGAAAAAATATATGTCATTCTTCTTCCATCTTGAATTTTCTTTCTATTTTACACCCAAAAAACTTCCTGATTTTATTAAAAATTGCTTCTGTGGTATTTAAATTTTTTTTATGTATATATGATTTATATATTATATTATAAATACATGTGTGTTTTGTGTATATGATGAAAAAAATTATTTTTCTTTTGACCCCTCTGATAATGAAATCATGGTTCCGTTATGTGCATAACATACTCACTTGTAACCTTTTGGGAAAGTATGAAGGGAGGTCGTTATCGGATTTAGTTATTATATGGTCCCGGTAGCTTCTACACCGAATCTTTTCCTACTCAAATCACCAATCTGTGAAGGTTCCACTTGTGGGATTGGAAGTTTGAAGATTTGGGAACCAAACCTCTGTTTAGGAGCTGCATTAGTTAACCTACTCGTGTTGCACATATCTCTCTTGCGAAGGACCTCCTAAACTTTGTACCATTAGGAACGCTTGGTTTTACACACCCCCACCCCAAAAAAAAAAAGAAAAGAAAAAAGAAAAGAAGAGAATAATAACAAGGGGTACCATTGTGTACTTTTTTTGTGCTTACATTTGTCATCATGCATTGCAAAGTCATCTCTGACAGGAGTTTCAAGTAACTCGAGCCATTGTATTTCATGCATTGTCAGCCCTAATTGAAATGGCCAAGGCCACTTTACATAGGAAAACCTACCAAATATTCTTAACGGTACACATATCCTAGACATGCATTGACTGTACACCCATATGAGATAGCCATGTCTACGTCTCAAGATTGGGTCCACTACAAAAAAAATTATTTTTTGCGACGGTAAAACGCCGTCGCAAATACTCCAAACGCCGTCTCAAAAAGTTTTTGCGATGGTAAAATGACTTTTTGCGACGGTAAGTGGGGGTCGCAACAAAAGGGGTTGCAAAAGGGTTTTAGCGACGGCAAGTGCCGTCGCCTTTGTTTTTGCGACGGGAAAATTTCTTTTTTGCGACGGCAAATTTCTGTCGCCAATAATGGAGGAAAATCTAAGTTTTTTTGCGACGGCACAGTATTGCCGTCGCTAAAAGGGTTTTTTGCGACAGCAAAAATACCCGTCGCTAAAAGTGCCGTAGCTAATGACTATTGTCGACGGCAACCTGAGCCGTCGCTAATGACTATTGTCAACGGCAGTGATGCCGTCGCTAAAGGCTTCATTTTTCAATTCAATTCTCTACCTTTTGCGACAGTATAGGTGCCGTCGCAAAAAGCCTAGTTCAATTTACTTTTTGAGACGGGTGTTCTGCCATCTCAAAAAAAATTATTAAAAAAAAAACCTATATTAAAATTATTAAAAATATAAAAATAATCTGTATTAAATGAAAAATAACTAAAAAAAACCCAATAATTACATAATAATATAAATACATACATAAACAAAAATTGGCACATGATGAAAATTCATAATATTGTTCCATTCATAACAATACATAAATAAAAATTCATAACAATAAAAATTATGCCACTACATAATGTCGCATAATACATACATAATGTTGTTCACAAATTTAAATAACATAAATTAAAAACAAAAGTTTTCATCATATGATTCTTCCGTGGGTTAATACTTTAATCTTTACACGCCTGCATTCCACAAGAAACAAACTGCTACTCCCGAAATATCTGAAAATAACAAAATAAAAATAATTAATGACAATATAATTGTGTTAATATTTTAATTATAGAAAAACATAAAAAATTAACTACTATATATATATGCACACATATGCATTATATATGGCTTTTCTAACTATTTACTAGCTAATAGACCCTGAAAAATTGTTCAAATCATACATGATATTAAACATCCAGCTGAAACATGCTATTCTAAGGAAAGGGACCTTGAGTAGCTCTACTATATTTGAAAATTTGTTTGCAGTCAGGCCTCAGCAAAGATTCACTTTTCAGAAGGAAATAATAGATGCAAATGTCAATGCACTACTGAAGACATATTGTCTACTTCAACAATATTTCACGCATGTAAAAAATTCAAGATGCCATTTTAAATAGGCCAAACCAAAAAACACACCTACATACCTTTTCTAGTGCTAGAGCAAGTTTCGAGAGATTTGGATAAATGCTTCTCGCACTCAAAAGGATCTGATTCACAGAAGGTTCAATGAAATAAGTCATACGGAAACATAATACGACTTAGATACAGATATTTGCTAGGCATAACATATATTTAAACATAGAGAGTAGTAAGCAATTGTTTCAGCAAAAATAAGCCCAACATGAAACAACCCTAGGATGCCCTTCCCTCCACAAGGCAATCTCCAAAACTAACAAACAAATAAAATTTGGGATTCCACTGATTCAAAACCTCAAATAAGGTTTGAACCATCACCAGAATTCAGTGCACAGTAGTAACCAATTAGGAGATTGTTGAAGTTATTAGGCAGGGTACAACAAAATGAAACATGATACTCATAATGGACAAGTATGATCACCTCACAAAGCCTCTGCAGGGTAAAAGGAGGACCTTCTATAAAGCTGAGAAGAGCTGCAGAGGAGAATAAACATTCTGTGAATGCTTTCAACAATATCTTACCAAAATTTCAGATTAGGAGAACAAATACATACATAGCTAGAAAATATCACTAATATACACAATCACAAATATCCAAAATATCCATCAGTATTATGGAGTTATGCCCAACACCCTTCCAGCCTTTATAATGGTTTACTATGCATGAATTCAACAGAGATATGGCTCTTAACAGAGTTGACAGAAATAGAAAGTTACAAGTAACTAGCCATAAGGAGCAGGTTTTGAGACCTTTTGAGATCAGTGAAGAGTATGGTTACAAGCATTCAGGGAACCAATACAAAGAAGTTATATTTTGATTTTCTCCTGTTTTTCATTTTTTATTTTTGAAGAAAAAAAAAGAAATAATATTTAATGGCAAGCATATTATCAACTTTCAGGTACCACACACCCAATTGTTTATCATGAGTGGAGGCATCACTACAAAAAAAATTATTTTTTGCGACGGTAAAACGCCGTCGCAAATACTCCAAACGCCGTCTCAAAAAGTTTTTGCGACGGTAAAATGACTTTTTGCGACGGTAAGTGGGGGTCGCAACAAAAGGGGTTGCAAAAGGGTTTTAGCGACGGCAAGTGC